GGGACCTACTGCCCACAAATGGCTCCCTTTGTCTTCTGCTGAGGCGTCCAAGTGGGGACAGAAGGACGATAGCCCCGCTTCTGCCCTACCACAGGGCTGGGGGCTCTGGGAGGGGGCATGGGGCAGGCGGTGCAGGGACTAGCTGCCCGCTCCCGCGGCCCTTGCCCATGGCACAGTGGGGTCTCGGCATGCAGCCAGGTACATGCCATGCCTTCTCCCCCTCCAGCTCCGACTCCTGCAGCTGCGGGAGTGTGCTGAGCGCCTACGGGTGCCAGCGCCCTGCGGTGTGCCGGCAGCCTCCTCCATGGCAGAGCAGTCATTGAGAAGCTGGACACGGCTCTGGCTCTGGCCGGCAGGTCTGCCGGGCAGCACACACTCCCGCTCCGGCACCGCAGCGCTGGCTGCAGCATCCCCTCTGCAGACCTGGTGTCCATGGTCTTCCGTGTCCTCCTGGCCCCCCAGCTGGGACTCAGGCCCTTCTGGGGCAACCTCTGCCTTTTGGACCTGCACACGTGAAGGTGGATCTTCAGTTGGCAGCAGGTCTGTGCCTGCATTTCACTGTATGAGAAAAGGCTCAGTAGCAGGCAACAGAAGAAACGGTGTTAGTGTGATGCTTACCAGGGAGGGACATGTCTAGGGAAAAGAGATGAAACCAGAAGCTCTATCAGCTACATGGACCCGTAATGAGATAGTGGGTTTATCCTCCCACACTTCACGGGGAAGGTCCAAAAAGACAAAATCCTGAAGAGCATGAAATTGTCAGTCTGCCATGAAAATAGTGTTTGATGCACATTTTGTCTGCAAAATACTAATCTGCAGGCAGCATCAGCCAGTTACAGAATATGCCTTTTGTAGGTAAGAAGTAAACATCGGAGGGCACATTTAGAGGAGCTCAGCTGCTGGAGCAGGTAAAGAACCTTGCCGGATTTATCCCCGAGCAGCTTGCTCTGCTCTCTGATTTGCCAGGAACTGGATTACATTTTCCTTCTTGCAAACCCAAGGCTAGGGTTAATCTGGGCTTCAGCTGTGACTAATCCCACTTGGACAAATCCTGCCAGCTCACCGAGGCCGCGGAGCAAACTGTGTGCCAGGCAGCACTTGTGTGAGCAGGGGCAGGTGGGAGCCGGGCTGTGCCTGGGTGTCCGCGCTGGCCTGGCACCACCGCCGCTCGGCTCCCATCAGAAAGGGCAGTTTGTCCTGCTGTAAGTGCAGAAGGAGAGAGGAAAGCTCTGCTCTGTCCTCTGGTTTACAGCACTCCGGTAAGTGCTGACTTACATGCTGAGCGGGTTGTGGTGGGAGCCGCTTTGCAATTGACATGACTGCCGCTGCGCTGCTGGGCTGACCTGCTGCCGACGCCGCTGCACGTAGCAGGTAATTGCAGAGCTTCGACTGCAGTTGGTGCTGAGACTTGGTAACCCCTGACGAGGTGGGGACCGGATAGACGCCTAAATGGATTATTTTTAATGGCTACTACTCTGGGTCAGATTTGGATCTTGGTGTAAGTCAGTCCAGTGCAGCTCCATTGTGCCAAGAGGATTTCCATGGAGGTAACTGAGAGGAAAACCTCCTTCTCCATTACACAGAAACGGGTGCGTGGTCCCAATGCTGCCACGTCTGTGGTTGTCCTCGCTCTCATCTGCCCGCGGCCAGGAGCGCTGTGCAGGGGTGGGTGCAGGACCCGCACCAGGGCGATGCTGGGGTGCTGCAGCAGCCTTCTGGGGCAGAGGTGGTATTGCTGCTTTGCTTGTGTGCGCTGGGCTTTCCCTTCATGAGCCAGCCCTGTCATATTCACACCCTTTAGGATTTTTGGCCTACAGCATGTCCCGTGAGAAGGATTCCCAGCAGTGCCTTCACCTTGAGTGTAGGTCGTTGAGTCCCATCTTGCTGCAGGGCTGTGCTGGGGCTTTCCTGTCACCGGTCTGACCCCCAGTAACGGGCAGCTCAAACCCGGCACACGTTGGACTTGTGCTTGTGAGCGGTTATGTCACCATCCCATCCTGGGAGCTGAGGCCTTAATCTTTTTCCCTTGTATATTGACTTGTGTTTTGAAAATGCCGCATGCCATATAGCACCTCTGGGCAGAGGACGAGGTTTTCCTGAGAAACACCGAATCTCTGCAGCTCTTCAGGCCAAGTCCAACTCAGCGCCGAAAACGACGAAGCTTTTCCCTCCAGGAGCAGGGAGCGTTTGGTGACAGTCGACGTGACAGACAATGAAAGGGGGAAACCTGATGGGAACAGGGGGCAAAGTAGTGAAGCAGCAGCAATTACCGACATGGCGTTACCTGTGCCGTGGTCCTTTGCCAGCAGCTGGAGGTGGCAGGAGCACATGTAGCACCGACAGTGGGAGGGGGCCGGGGCACGCTGGCTCCCTCCACCCCCCAGCCACCGAGAAAATGAGTTTTACAGCTCAAGGGAGGATTAGTGCCTCATTAGCTCAGGAAAGGGGAAGCCTTTAGCAGACAAGGAGAAAGGACTCGGGTGTCATGTGCGCTTTGAGTGGGACCGGCTCTTTTGCAGGGGGTGCCTGAAAAGGCAGAAGGAAAAATTAAGACATATTTTGTTTTAAATGAAAAATGACGGGCATTTCCCCCACCTTCGTGAAAACAGAAAGTAATTTAATTTATTAGTGGTTTATTTTATTTGACAGCCTTTCTATGTACTTGATGCGGTTTGTTACACTGAATTACCCTTTAATAATGGGTATATATAATACCAGAGCCTGCCCTGCAGGTTGGCTCCGTAATTGAAGAAGGGATGCACTGAGGAGGTCTGTGTGCTGTTGAGGATTGCCATGGCAATGCTGGGGTGAGCCAGGTGGTTTAGGCAGACACTGGCTTCGACTCTGCCTGGTTAAAAAAAAAAACAACCAAAAACCACAACAAACCAAGACTGACTTTGAGTTCCTCTCACGTTGCCTCATTTGTTGGGCGCTTTCTCTTCACCATCACTGACCGCTGCCGCTCTGAGCCTCTCCCTGCCCAGCTGGGGTCGGGATGGTGTGGCTGCGGCACCCGGAGCAGTTTGCAGAGTCTTCCCTCAGACCACCGTTGCTTTTCCTTTTTTGTATGTTAAGCAGAAATGTAACACAGGTGTCTGTCAGCCGCTGGCACCGGGTGCTGGGAGTTACGTTGCTGGAGAGCAGGCAGCGCGCTGGGAAAGACGCAGCCAAGGACAGTCCCGTGGTGGCAAGTGGGATGAGCAGGGAGAGGGAGACAGAGGCTTTTCTCTGCCTGTGATTCACACGTCAGTGAGGACATACGTCAGTGCCAGCACCAGGATCGAGCCGTCGGCACGGGCTCGCAGTGGCCTCCTCCGCAGTGGCAGTGTTTCCAGCCGGCTTTCGGGCAAACTTAAGCAGAGAAGAGGTTCCTGGCTGCTTCTGCCTCAAAATGGCAGTGCTTTCAGATTTAAATACTTATTGTTGATACCCTTAAGCAAAAGCTCGCAGCATGTGGTGAGAAGGGGCATGGACGCTTGCTGTTTTCCATATTTCAGTGCAGATTCTTGCCACTGTAGCGGATAAAAAATTCTGCCTTAACAAAATAGTCACGGGTGACCAGGTTTGTTCGCTCATGGGGTTTTACCTGGTGATGGACCAAGTTCCAGACATAAAAAACGCCCCAGAATTTGACTCTGAGGTAACAATTTTCTTGGCTGAAGAGTTTGTCTTAGCTCTGTGGTTGTGAGTAGCTGCCATGTGAGAATCGGGTAGGGGATTGTTGGGGTGCCGGCGGTTGCGGATGGCCGTGCTGCTCTGGCTTAGACCCCGACTGCGCTGGTTCTTCGCACTGCAGTGTGTGCTGCTGGGCTCCTGCCAGGGACGGGGCCTGGCCTGGGGTTTGACCACGAGGTGCTGTCAGGCTGCGCAGCAGCAGCTCACTGAGCGAAATCCTCTGCCGAAGCTTTTGCTGTACTTATTTTTGTGGCTGGCGAGGCCTGGTGTAACTGTTGAGCCCTTTCCCTTTGCACAACCATCATGTTTCCGACAGTCTGAATGACAGCCTGGTTCCTGTAATCCCTGAGCAAAACACGAGCCTCCATCCCCAGATGGCTGAGCAGAGTCCTTCAGCTGCAAACGATGCATCATTGACTGTGTCAGGCTGAATTAGCAGGCAGGCTCGTCACATTAAGCTCAGGCTCTGAGCTGGCAGTCCCTGTGCTCTAGTGTCACTCGAGCTGGCTGTCACACTCCTGTCCCTACCTCTGCAGCCATGGGAAATCTCTTTGGGCAGCGCACGGATAATACACAAAGTAATGAAGTAGCTTGAGGGAATAGCTTACTGGCAAACGGGAGCACAGACTTAGCACCTTTCTAGTGTATTATGTTGCCGTAAGAGTATTGTGTCTGAAGTTATTACTTACACTGCTCCTTGGATACACTGTTCTTACTGCATCTCTCCATCCCCCGATGTTTACATGAGTTATGCTTATTAATCTAAAGGCAAATGTGTGTGGTTCTGTTTCTGGTCCCTCCATCTGTCTCTGCCCTGTGTGTTCCCTTTCCCTGTCTCTTCTCATCTCTTACCTCTGTCACTTCACTGTGAAGCAAATGCAGAAAAGTTAAGAGAAAAATCAGTGCTGACCTGGCTCTCTCAAGAAATGTATTTCTGTTAGAAGTGCTCCAGGAATTTCAGATTCTGGTTAACAGTGGCAAAACAAGGCAGAAGTGGTTTTTATCTTTTTTTCAAGGAACGAACGGTTGCTGTAGCAGAGATCTGAGCCTGGTTTACTGGGCTCTTGCTACCTCATGACAATTTAACGGTACTGGTGCCTCTTTCAAAAGTAAAAGGCTTTCGTGTCTGCTTGTCCTTATGTTCGTACACTTTGAAAGGTGCTAGGTTTCCTTGGTGAGAGTGTGTTAAGAGGCAGGTGGGATGGAGCTCTGGCAGACAGTGCTCTGCGGGCACCCCCCTTGGCCGTGGGGCATCCCCCCTGTGCTGGGTGCTGGCATGGGTCAAGTGGGACAGTCGGACCCTGTCCTTGGTTGCTGATGCTCTGCTTCCCATCCCGCAGGTACCTGTGCTCCGGCCTATGGACCTGATGGTGGAGGCCACCCCCCGGAGGGTTTTTGCCAACGCGCATACCTACCACATCAACTCCATCTCCGTCAACAGCGACTACGAGACCTACATGTCAGCAGATGACCTGAGGATAAATCTCTGGAACTTTGAAATCACAAATCAAAGTTTTAGTATCCTTTGGTGTGCGCTGCCCCATCGCCCCTGGGATGGTCCCAGCCCAGCCAAGAGCAGGAATAAGGGAGATGCCTCGGCTGGCAAGTGGGGCATAAAAGCCCTGGTAGTCCAGGCCTGTGCTGATGTCAGTGGGAGAAGGAGAAAGCTGGATGGGGGAGACAGGTCCCTGGTGAAGGTGAGCAGTGGAGAGAGGACCTGCAAGGTCCGGCTCCGTGGGAGGCAGCAGAGCCGTGCCCATGCCTGCTGCGATGGTGACTGAGCAGGTAGCGCAGCGTCTTGCCTGGCCCCATCCCTGTCCCCCAGTCACGGTTCCTTGGTACAGGAGCTTCACCCTCTGGCAAGGGCTCGCAGGGGCTCAGGAGTACAAAATAGTGCATCTGACTGCAGAACATCTGAAATCCCTGGTCCCAAGGTGTCATTACCAAGGCACTTCTCTCTTGTCTCTGCCCATGCTGCCAGGCTGAGCCATGCTGCCAGTGGGGACACCGGGCTGTCTCCGGCAGGCACGTTCAGCCGTCACACCAAGTCGCTCCCTCCACGATGCACGGCTGAGCTGGCATTGTCGTGACTGCTGCTCCTGGTGTGGGTGACACATTTTTTAATTTTGCCTGCAGGGTCTGCATGGGGCGGGCGGGAGTCGAGGGGGTCTGCAGGTGATGGAGAAGACAGATGCCTTGGGGAAGACGGAGAGAGGAAATACTAATTGTGCAGTCTCCATTATATCCTGCAGCAGGGTGACAGGTTGCCAGTCACAGTCGTACAAATGAGGTCATGCCATTCACCCTTGTAACAGCCGCATCAGAAATAGTAACAATGGGGCACTAATCATCAGTGATATTTATATAGTGTTTCCTACTGAGAAATCCCCAGGGCATGTGGCAAATTTAGGCAGCTGGAGAGGATTTCAGCAGTCACAGGCATGTGGCTGGAGGGAGCTTGAAGTGGGTACAGTTGAGCAGGGCTGTAATGTGTGTTGTGTTCCGGGAAAGAAGGTGAGGGGTACTACGTTTGGGGAGTTTTTAACCTCAGGGAGTTTAGACGGCCCAAGGGAGTTTGGCCAAGGCGCAAGTGGAGCACCCAAAACTCGTGCTAAAAATTGTTGGAGAAACATCACCACCAGAGAGATGTCCACTCAGATGTCCTGTCCCATCCCACCGGCTTGTCAATGTGTTGGTGTCACCTCTCCGCCCTGTGCCTTGGAGCCCCTTCCTGGAGTGTCCCCAGTTTGGCTGCGTTTGGCCGAGCTGCAGGACCAGCCCCAGCGGGCTCTCCGCAGGGTACCTGATGGGGCATTGGGTGACGCTGGCATGGAGGGGAGGAGAGCCACAGCAGCACGGCCTACCTGCCCGGGCGGGTGAGGAGCACATCACTGTTTTTCACTTTTGTCAACAAAACCCCAAGTCTGGTCCCTGCCTGACTGAGAGTCGAGAAGAGGCAGTCCTGTGGATTGGCGTTTCTTAGTTTTGTGCACGTCACCCAGCCGCTGCACAGTTCGATGGGATTTGAAACCTCTGCTGAGCAAAGCATCAAGGCTGTTGTGAGAGGGTTATTACAGGTCAGAAGCACAGGATCTCTACAGAACCATCGTGACACAGTGCAGTCCTGTACCGCTTCTCATTGCAAACTGTCAGCATGCCTTACATACACCAATACATCTAGACTTGTGGCAGTTTGGGAGGGAGTGATCACTGTCACGCAGGGCCATGTGCTGGGTTCAGGTCTGGCTTGAACTGGGATCCATGCTCTGCTGCGGACCCACAGCATGGCCAGGCTGGGAAACCACTCGGTGGCTGTGAACTGCGGCGGCTGCTGCTTCTGTGGGAATGCTTGCTGTTGTAAAACACTCCACATGGGTGAGAAATTCATATCTTTTTCTTCTTTATTATTTTTTTTAACTCCTGTCTTGCCAAGAACAGCAGGATCTTAATTTCCTTTCCAGGGCGTGAGGAAAAGTGCTGTTTCTTTTTCCCCCCTCTGCACGGTGGGTAAATCGTCCCATGCTGGGTGTCTGGATTGCACTGTAAGATCTGAAGCCGCTTCCACCGGTGACGGCTGGCTTGGTGTCAGGCTAGGACAGACACTTGTCAGCCATCCCCTGTGGCACCGGGATGTTCTGTGGGGCTGTGCAGGTCCTTGCCAGCACCATCCACTGAGCCTGGGGACAGGGTCTGCAGCTCAGTGTTCAACCCAGCATTTCACCGAGCCCAAGCATGTGAAATGTTTTGGAAAGCACACATCCCTGGGCAGCCACGTCTGGGCTGTGGTAGTTTTCTGTTGGTTGTCATGCTCTGGGTTTTGTTTTCCCCCAGTTGTTTTCAGTGTGGTTACTCACCGTGCCCCGATACTGCAATAAAAGATGTTTACTCTGGCCTGGAGTGAATGGGCAGAGTCAGGTCTCATGCTGTGCAGAGGGGCTCCAGGCCGTGGTACCGAAGCTGTGGTCCCCAGCTGCACAGAACAT